ACCGGCGACTAGCGGGGGGGCGGCTCCCGGTGCCCATTGCATACGCACGGGCTTAAAAGGGGTGGCCAGTGCGGCCGACAGGAGTTGCTGTCCCGAGTCTTGGCCAGGTCGGGATCCAGGAGTCATGGTAATAAACCCCGCTTGACCCCAAGGAAAGAGTCGTCTGATTGATCACCTGCGGCGGACGGCGGAAGTCGAACGCTACAACACTCCAGAAATAGTGCCACAAAGAGTGCCGCAATGATTACGAGTATTTTACCTACTTTTCCTTCGTTCAGCACGTTCCAAATGGAAGTGTAGCTTTTCAACAATTATTTTTCACAATGGCATGTTCTTTAACAAAGGAAAGTGGTACACGCATTTATTATGGGCATATAACTGAAAATCAACGCAGAATACTAATTATGGTCTTTATTTCCAAAAAGACAAGATACTCTGGGTGCCTTTGCAAGACTAGGCAGGTAGACGGGTCCGTATGGAGGAGCGTTTGCCAGCCAGCCAGGGCAAACACTACAGCGTACCGAAAACACAAAATCGCTACATTGCGCGAATAAACTTTAAACATTAATTCATAGACGTTGCAACATCCATGAAACACATACAGGCCGTGGTAATGAACCACTAAGGTTGAAACCAGCTACGCTTCGAACGGGCTCGCCGCCAGCAGAAGTGGTCCGGGATGGAACGCCAGTGCCACCTGATAGATTCTACACAAAGTGCCTCACATGGAGGCCGCCGCTTTTTCCACTACCCGCCTTATTCTGGTTCGCTATAGCTCGTCTGCTCACTGTGCGATGACGTAAAGGCGGGCCCTGCAGAAATCACAGGCTTGAGGAGAGCGGAGGCCGGCGCAGCTTTGAAACCGGCTGCCGTGGCCCGTGTCTGCCCTCGGGCAGAGTGTCGGGGGCCTCCAGCCTTCTAGTTCACCATGGCTGACAGCCAGGAATGCGCGGATTCAGATTCCTCACCCCCTCGGGCTGCCAAGAGGACAGACTATTGGAGCTGGGAGATCCGCGGCATCTCTAGCATCGGAATCGTTGGGTGGGTGTCCGACTCCTCTCGGTTCTAGGCGCAAATGTTACGGGCATGGTGGAAATCGATATAAGTAAAGCTCCCCGCCCCCCCCCCCCCCAACCTGCGTTCACGCCGCTTCACAGCGACAGTGTGTGGCTGCTAAGTGCAAAAGCATTAACCCACTTGGCACCCCCCCCCTCCGTACACGCCGCGTTGCGGCGTCCAGCTGACAACCCAAGCCCTGCTTTCCTTCATTGCACATCCGGAAAGGAAGTCTTATACCCTTTAGTTCAGCAAAATTTTGTTGGCAACATTTTTTTTTAAGTGTTAATCATAAAAAAGAAATGTAGTAAATATCGACAAAATAAAATGTTCAAGAAAAAAGAGAAAAAAAAAGTAAGTCCACACTGCAGACCGAACCGGGGTCCGCTGCGTATGAGGCAGACACCTTGCCACTTAGCTACGCTACCGCTTCGGAAATTCGTTCTAACCATTCGTTTTATACGAGTTTCAAAACGTCGTGTGCATAGCAATTTCCAGTCAACGTGCACGCGACCGTGCATATAATTTTACTCAATCAATGTATGCTCGAAGATCCGCCTGCCTCCAAGGGTGACGGACATGACGAGCGAACGGCACATTCAATGCCCATGTCCACATGCCCGAGGGCTCGAACCGTTGCGCTGACTGGGGTTTATTCAAGCCCTTCAGAGCTGTTCTTCAAGATGATTTGCTCAAAGTATCTCGGTAAGTGGCCAAAAACCACTGCAGAAAACACTGATGAGTAAGACTAGGCTGTCTTATCAAAACATTTTGTGGTCTTCCGACGAAGGCCGAGTGTTTCTTTTCTCGTGTTACTGTATCTAACTATTCTTTTATGTGCTTGCTTGAAAACCTGGTTGCGTCCCACCATTAGCTCTGAAGATAACTTTCCGCCCTATTTTGAAATTTTTTTCATCGCGATCGTGACTTTTTTTTGCGAGGTAGCATAGGAGGTGGTGTGATGATTGCAGTTGACAGGCGGTACAATTCAAAAAGACGCGAGGATTTAGAGGGGTCCCCTGAGTGTCTATCGGTTGAAATCGAGTGCACAAAGCGGGTGTTTTATTCTGATTGTTTTATCTCCCTCCTCAAACTACACCTCATCAGGTGTCTTGTAACATTGAGAATATAGTGAAAGAGTTGTATAGGTGCAACCTTTTGATAATGGGGGACTTTAACGCTCCAGGTATTAACTGGACAAATTTAAATGTTCACACTGACAACTTTTATTGCAAGCAGAAATGCAGCTGAACTTCGTATCGTTTTTAGATCTCAGACAGCACAATTATGCTCTTAAAGGGGTGCTCTGGCGATTTCTTTATGGTCCCCGATTGGCTTGAAATTTTGCTAAACTCGCCAAACAACATCGCCAAAATAGTATCCCAAATATTAGGTCAAAATAATTTTTTTTCACGAAGTTATAGAATTTACAATTTTGGTCCTCACCGTGTTTCTCAAACTGAAAGTCTCTACTGGCAACAACGAAAAAGTGACGTCAGTTAAAGTGCAGGGGTTCACTCTTTGGACTGTAGAATTTGTTCCCAACTGATTCGAAGCAGTTTCATGGTGTCAAATGAATGCTTTGGATGCTCGCTCCAATCCCCGTGCTCCAGCACGGAACAAATGATTGGCATATTCTATTTTTTAGACTGCTCGCTCGACTGGCAAGCCTGCCCGCCACTGACGTCACGGCACTGAAAAGTGCGCGTATGTTTGAATGTTGGTTTTTGCACCATTTTCATTTGCCGCATTGGCAATAACTATTATGAATTTCGTGATACTAAATAGCATACCGGAAAGGGTAAAGGCCGGGGAGTCAGGAAATATACCCTACTGAAAAAACCTGTACAAATGTATACCGGCCTATACCGGTTCACACCGGAGTCCTGTATTCTCATATCGGTAACCGGTAGCTCTGTACCGGAGACCTGTAACCACGTACTGGCGAAGCCGATACGCCGTACCGGCTGCCCATACCATGTACAGGCGGCCGGTAAACGCGTACGGGAACAGCCGGTAGGCCACACCGGTAACCGGTAACCACGTACCGGCGAAGCCGATACGCCGTATCGGTTGCCCATATCAAATACAGGCGGCGAGTGAACACGTACAGGCGAAGCCGGTACGCCACACTCGTGGGCCGTAATAACGTACCGGTGGCCAGTAATCGATGCGCGGCTAACAGCAACCACGTATCGGAGCGACCGGTAACGCCTTACCGGCGCCGCACTTAAACCGGCGGTCGGTAACCTTGTACAGGCTCTAGCGGTATACACAATAGACCGATCTCACTAAGCGTTGGGCGCATGCGTAAAGCCGCCATAACTTTAGGTCACAGGAGGCAGACGGCCGTGCACGCGAGGGCTCGTGCCTTCTCGTGCTCTGCACGCGAAGAGCTCCAGCGAGGTTGTCGCACGTGCCCAAAGACTAAAGTTCCCTCGCTGCATTGCGGCAGCGGTGGCGTAGTCAAACTGGCCGGTGAGATCGGTCTATTTAACGCGACCAGAAATTATCAGACCTCGACGGGAACGCGCTCACCGCGAAACTAAACTGTGATATTTTTTTTCAATAAAGAATTTTAATCAGAAAATCACATATTAGGTCATTTCAGTTTAACAGTTTCAGCTATCAAACTCAACCATTTTATGACATGCATATTTAAAGTCATAAAATGAGAAAACCAAATCCATGGGAAGCGAGGCCGAGATAAACGAGAGTTTGCTTCATAGCTTTGAGCCCTGTACCGCGGTAGTTTCGGTTTCGGTTTATTGACGTCGGATTGGATTGGATTTCGTAGCTGCAAGCTAGAGCGCAGAAAAACCAACGACGGACAAACAATGTTTTTCTTAACAATAAATAAACTTAACATGGTAAGTTTCTATGCTTTTAAATGTTCTAAAACTATTTTGAGTAATAATAGTATTAATATAAACTAAGGCAGATTATTTATTTAATCCAATCCAATCCCTACATACCAGCGCCGCTGGCTAGCCGGCCAGTGCGAGCCAGTGCTGTGAACCAAAGCCGCATTGACGTTAGGGCTATCTCGATCGGTGTGTATCGGTGTCGATATGTACTAAGCGTACGTGATTTATATTGATGGCGCGAAGGCAATAGTCAGCGTGGTGAACCGTATCAAGAAGTTCAAACCGGCGAGCGTTGGCGACTTCGACCCCGACGTGCCGAAAAGCGTCTACTGGGAGGCTGTTGGAGCGTGCGCCGGGGAATGGTAAGTTGTTGTCTACGCATCAGGGGCTCGAAGCACAACGTATACTGCAAACCGTTAATGGGGAGTTTTCGTTGATCGTTTTCGCTGTCCCGCAACGCCCTCCGCAACTCGCTATATACCCGGAACTCTACAGTCAAGACTATCGGCGGGCACGCGCATCTTCGTTGCAGAGGGGGAAACGCGGTCTCCGAACACTCCCTAATGTTCGCCAGCCCCCGATGTTTTGCAAATTCCACGCGTCCAAAAATTAGCGAAATTTAAGGACACGTGGAAAGCGGAAATTTCGTGGGCCCCCGTTCCGGCGTCTAAAATTCGCGAAATGTGGTGGGCACGAATATGTCCTTGCGCCCGATTCGGTCCTTGCGCCCGATTTGTGAAGAACTGGGCGGCAAGAGCGAAGGGTTTTACGTTGTTTAACTACAGGGCGCTCCAGATGGTAGCGACGACACTCAAAATAAATCGCAACAAATCGGCTTTGTAAGCTCGACAAATTTACCACATAAGTTCGACTAGGTGGTGCATTTAATGTGTAAAAATATCGAAAAAAATAATTTTTGAAACAAGGGTTATAGCGCAGGCTGGCTGGTGAACGGTCATATTTGTAAACCCCGATACAAGAAGGGAAAGGGAGACAAACACGACGACTTTGAGATGTAATTCAGTGTGAATGTTTTGTTTTACAGAGACACGAGCTGAGCTGGTTGCTGCTTTGAAAAAGAAGCACGTGGCCATCCCTATGGTATTGAACTCAAGGTTCGAGGTTTATGTGTGCCTTTAGGCTGTTTTTCTTACCTCATCTTCGGCTCTGTTCAGAAGGAGCGGGTTCGTCTTTTGTTTCCCTTTTTCAAATCAGCAGCATACTTCACTTCCGTTACCAGTGGGCAGTAATCGTGGGTAAATTTGAACGGTTAGGCTAAAGAATATCTTGCATTTTGTTCGCTTTATGAGTAATTGTGTCCATTCATTATGGCTGGTCAGGACTATTTGTACAGACACTTTTTAAATTGCTTGCTATTCTGGTACACAGATCCGGTGGGTAGAACGCTCTATGAAAGTGGACCACAAGCCGCACATTAACACACAAAGTGCCGCAGCTTGGCCACTCCTGGTCTCGACTGTGCTGTAGCTGCAGTTGTCCCTCTTCAATTTCAAGAGACACTCTCCTGCTCGTTTCTCGACCGCATTAAATCTGAATTCGACACTCTTCAGTCTTACGAGATGTGCTCACCTGCTCTAAGTCAAGTCAAAATCTCGCTGTACACGAAGTTACATCTCTTCTCCACTATCGCAAGACGTCCTCATTTGTTTGGCGTCCTGCTTGCGTTGCAGCCGAAGTTTCCTCTCTTTAATCTTTTCATCCGCTTCAATGGTCCTCTTGTTGCTACTTGCCTCTCCAGCTTTCAACAAACATGTTTTATGTTGTTCCGAAGTACCCTAGGCACTTTGCTTTCACTGTGCCTCAGCACGCTTGCGTAATGTTCCTCTGGTGAGACCTGCTTTCGTATACCGACAACGAAAGATGATACTCAAGTCTGGTTCACAGAGCTCTCCTCAGATGTGGCTATGTGCGACTGCGACCAGATGCGGCGCACATTGCTATGGCAACAACGGCGTTGAGTCACTGGCACGTGCATCAACGCAGCTCTTGCCTGCAACCAGTAGCTCTTTCGCAAATGCTTACCCATGTATGCTCGTAGTGAAGCGGATACGATGCCCGGCTTAGACTTCAACAGTTGTGGGTTTGAGGCGCAGTGCCGGCGGCATGTTTTTCTTTTCTGAATTATAATGTGCCGGCACATGCTCTTTTCAAAAGCAGTTACAAATCCTCGGACCAACAGACGCCTAAAGTGCATATGCTTTGCTTATAGATGCTATCGTATTTAAAAGCACTGAATTGCAAGTACAAAGCAACTGAGAGTTTACGTTCCTCATAGAAAGTACACTGGGTGCAAAGTAGTATTATCATATTTTACTTTCTAACTAACTTAGAAGTACCTTTTAACACAATATTTTATCATACTATTTCGTTTACCTACACAGTGTTTTCTGACAACAGGTATCGTCCTTTACAAACTAGAGTATGTAAAGGACGATATACCAATTATTTCCTGTACTGACAGTGAATACCGGATATCTTGTCAGGGGCGTCTGGAAGCATTTCTTCAGGGAGGGGGCTATCACAGGTATAGGGCTGAAACCTGCACCCAAAAAATAAAGGGGGGAGAGCAATTTAATGTGAACTATGTGTGTCCCAATTATGTGTTGGAGTTTATATTAAATAAATATTACAACACCTGGACCTTTTTCTTTTCCAGATTTTGATGTCGCCATCCCCTGCAGTGGGTGGCAAGTACAAGAAAAAAAAAAAAAAAGACAGAGGACAGGACGTCCGCTGTGTCGCTTGGGAAGCATGCCCGGCTGGTTGAAAAGCTGAGGTCGGCAAAGCAGAGGGTGCTGAACCTGGAGCAGGAGCCCCAGATAGAGAGGACGCTATCAAGAAGCAGCTGCTGGCACTACTAGGTAAGCGTGGAGGCACTTTCAGTTGCTTACCTCACACACTACACATTATGTGCTCACACTTTATCTGAGAAATCAAAAGTAATTTTAATTTTTTTTTTGTCGCAAACAGAAGTAAGCATATACTACAGGGGTGCTTCAATGTATCAATGAGTTTAAGAGGTGTCTATAATTCTCTTTTCGTCTCTTAGGGTGCAAATGGAGCTTTGAGAGTTTGTTTCTTGTTGCTGATGGCGATGAGCCCGTTTTGCTCGGCAGCACTTTTGCTTTGATTGAAGAAATATTTTTCTGGTTCTGCAGTATGTCAAACAATTACGTCATACCAAGACACCATGGTCTGTGCGCATAGATGAGGCTTGAAGTGAAAGTTTGTTCTGTCAGTCAAAACATTTTAAATATGCGCTTTCTGATGAGGCCGGCCAGCACACATCCTTTCGTCATTGGGGACAAAGGAGTTCTTTTTGTTGAGGAGGAGGGAGTGAGGAAGCTGGTCGTAGGCATGACCACAGCACCAACAAGGCTGAACTTTAATCGGGCGGCAGATTGTGTCTAGCGACGCAACTGTGCAACTGGTTAAAAGGTGAGCAGACGATCTGCTACAGCATTGAATTTCGTCAGAAAGATTGAGCTTATATCTCGCAAACCGTTGGAAATGCTTGGCATGAATATTCATTAGCTATTCACCGGTATTTTTTGTGTAAACTAAACAACCTCTCTGCCGCCCACTGCCGGCGAACTTGAGCGCATTTCTTTTCTTCCTCTTTTTCTTCTTTGGTTTTGTTTCTCATCCTTTTGTTTTGTGTCCTGCTTGCGCTACTTTTCCAGTCCCGGTGTGTTACGGAAAAACAAATAAGCACACTGCCGGTAGTCTTCTGTGGCATGAAGTTCTATGAAGCCCTCATGCCATCAACGAACCAGGAAAGTGCTGAAGTCCGAATAATCAAGCTTGTCTGAATTTTTGGCGTCCGAAAAATCGGTTGACTCCTGAACTGTGTCTTGTTTCTAAAGAGTGTTTTATTATGTTGCAGTGGACAATGTCCCGTCTGGCAGGGTTGGGTCAGCTCCTCCAGCTTGCCCAGCAGTGGTTCCTGCAGCTGGCGCTCCTGCTTCAGTTCACGTAGTGCGAGCTGGTGTGGATCACGCTCGACCTGTACCGGCCGCTGATGCTGCTGTTCCAGCAGCGGATCTTGTAGCAGGCCCGCCGGAGGCATTTCCCGAGTGTGTGCCAGTGCTTGCAGAGGCTGATGACGAGGTAAGTTCAGAATTTCATGGAATATTCATTCCAGATATTGGGCAAGTGACTAAATTTTATTGTTTCCACAGCTCCTTGAATGAGGTTATTTATATGCTTCCTTAAATTGAACCATCGGGCTGCTTCAGAATGCTGGTGAATGTAAAGAGTAGGGCCGGGCATTGATAAGATATTTCTTTCCCAAATAATTGGCACTTTTCTGAAACGTTTTCTATCTAGTGGCCTTGTCTTATTTCGAGGTTTTTCATAAATCATGTACCAAGTAGCCCAATTAAAATTGTGTTATAATTGGTACCCTTCTTTCGCTTTCTCTCTTTACTCTGAACTCACTTAAACGGACACTTAACCCCCCAATAAAAGTTTTCATTTTTTGCCAGCCGATTTTTAATAGTGTCGAAAGACTACCAAATTAATATTTTGCAACAGTCACATATATTTTATTAAAGGGAAGCTACGGAGCTTCTTGGAAAAAATGAGTTAGAAGTGAATTCTAGTGTATTTTTACCCCGTGAACCCGAATACCCAAATCATTTGCTGCGTAAGTATTGTTAAACGCGAGAAAAACTCGAAAGACAGTCGCTGTCCATGACGTCATCGACGGCTCTTTTCGCTGCCCAAGGCTAGGGGGGCGGGGCTTCAGCCATATTTTGAAATTGCTCTTGTAACTCTCCGGCGCGTCGCATTGAAATATAATTTTGATATCTGTTATTCTAAAGGCCAAATGAACGCAATTCAAGCGTTTTTTCTCAAATGTAGAAGTCCCCCATCTTCCCTTTAAAGCCAAAAAACGCAACTGCTCAGAACTGAAACTGAAACCCGCGCACGGAGGTCGGAGAAGTGGAGAGGAGAGAGTGAGTGGGCGGAAGTCACGTGGCTACACCCGACCGTGAGCTTTTTTGTTTTCCCCTCCGTGTTTTTTTTTTTGTGTGCATAGCAGACGACATGCGTGGCTGGAACTGTTTGCTATGCGATTCTTTTGCAGTTATGTTTGTTCCACTCTCTGTTCTGTACTTCAAGATGAGGTGTTCTTTACATTGAGAAGTTGGAGACGAGTAGTGAGTGCCCGTGGTGAATTTCTGTGATTGGCTTTGAAAAGAATACGCCCAAGATGTTGCATGAAGAGCTGCCTTGCATGTCCTGCGTCCGAAAAAAGTGGCATTGTGCGGCAGACGTCTACACAAGTTTCCGAAAGATCAATGAGATCGGGACCAATGGCTGGCTGCATTTCCTGTAGAGCATTTCTATCTATTTCTAGGTTCACCTTTGCCATGGTGTCTTGGTGGAAAAGGACAAACTGTTCTACGTGAGGGGAGCCCGGGGAGACTCCATGTTCGTTAAAGAGGCCACGAAGTTGATCTTCGGCAGGGAGAAGCTGCATGGGCGGAGTGTGACTGGGGTGCTATGCCGGCGCTTCAAGGGCGCTTTCGCCGAGAGGGCCCTGACTCCAGTCAAGTTGGCAGCAGTAAGTGCCCACTTCTCACAGATGTCTCATACTTGGTGAGTCACTCAAACCTTATGGCTTCTGAAGTTGCAACCTGCTACGACAAAATTAATGTGATAAAATATTCCAAGGCTTTCGGAACTTTCAGTGTTATAGGCTGTTGAAAGGTCACGGTTCGACTAGTTCGAGCTTTAGGAACGTGAAGCTCTGAGCGCAAAACCGAAATGAAGAAGCCCTATCTCCCTCTTTGTTTTTAATATATGAAGAAAAGTAAAGTGACCTTGTCACGGTCATCTAGGTCCCTTGGTGCTTTCTGATGTATTCACACTGAGGAGGTTTTACAGTAACATGCTCCGCATTGCAAATATCTGCTAATCCCTGCAAGTTTTGGGGGAGGTCCATGATATCAGTGGCCTGCTTGCAGGACCTTCTGCTGAGGCACTTATTTTTTCTTTTGAACGAAAAGCTGGCACTAGCAGAGTTGTGAAAGTGAGTCTGTTTGTTCACTAGAACTGCTACAACCGAACTATGTTTGGCTCTGTCCTTTGAGTACTGCCCATTTTTTCTGAACCGCCTTCTGACCGTGGGTGTTCCTTCTTTCTAGTGCTCAGTTTTCTTACCAGGGAACTATCTCGTATGAATAGACCATTGAAGGGTCGTAACACGGATATTAAATTAGTTAAATGGTTCTTGATATCAAATCTGTGTTGTCAATTTATATACATGCCCAGAACAACAATTGCAAGTCAAAATCTTTCTTTTGCACTAAAACTGCCGGTCGAGAATTGTGTGTTCAGTGTTCATTTTACTTGTTCCCATGGTGACATTGTTGGGCATGAAATAAGTTAGAGGTTGTGGGCAATCAGAGGCCCATGTTCATAATTGAAAATACATATTTAGCTTTATTGAACATACTTTTACTTAAGTTAACAGGCAGGCGAGCTGGTTAAGGATAGACGTGGTTACCCAGGAACGTGGGGAAAAAAAGGGACAGACAGACACGAAGCTCTGGAGCTTCGTGTCTTTCCGTTCCTTTTTGTCCCCTGCTCCAAGGTCTATAATTTTCATAAACACTGAAATGCAAGGAACACATTGTTGCAAGCAAACTTTAAGTGCATAGTTGTGGAAAGTCACACTAGGTCTTTTCGATTTGCTTGAACTGGCTGATCTAGTTCAAATAGTGTAAGAACTGACTCATTAGATTCAACCGGAAGTTGCATGGACGCTGAACTGGCCTGTTCGATTTATTCCAGTGCTGCACGAGCTCAGCCTCAGTTCCACAGAATCTTGCGCTGGCCGAAGTCAGTTCAGCGTTCATGCAGTAACAGATGGCAACTCTTCGGTCTTTCGGAAACCAATTACAGGGTCGTTTGTAACGCTGCAGCTTAAGTTCACGCAGCCGCAGCCCGACTTGCGCACTGCTTCTGCACTCCTCTGAACTCGGTCTGAACTGGTTCAAAACTTTCGGGCCGAATCATGCATGCCTGCTGTTTTAAGCAGACTGTGTAATCGTAAGAAGTTGCTCTTGGGGTCTACATGGTATCACAAGATATTAACAAAGCATAAATTGTAGCGGAAATTGCTTACTTATAATTGCAGGAAGTAAAATATTAAATTTTTCAGGGAACTGTAGATATACATGACTTATTGTTGTATTCTTTTCCCCTGCAGATGCCTTCAACGAGTACCTATGGAGGCATCCTCGAGAGGCCTCTCCAGGGAAGAGGATAGCTCGGGTGAATCTACTGCAGTATGCAAATTTGTTAATATCCTACTGCAGGATATTAACTAGAAGTTTGACTTCTAAGCTTGCTTAGAGGTTAAGCTTCTTGTTGGTGTTCTGCAGATGCCAATTTGCGTTCACTAAATACACGTATAACCTGAAATGACCTGGCTCATGCTCATTCTTTGCATGACAAATGCATGTGAATTGTTAAACCTGCAAAGATCCGTCCATCCGTTTGCAAACGTTGGACACCATGTTGATTCCTATTACTGCGTCAGAAGGGATAAACCTTTAAAGATATAGGTTTCTCTATCTGAACAGATGAACATGCATAAATATTGGTTCCTATATCTAAATGAGTCAACCTGTAAGGTACGGGTTCCTATATCTAAACGGGTCGACCCGTAAGGCACGCTTTCCCTTACCTAAACGGGTGAACCCGTACAGGTGCGGGCCCCGTATCTAAACGGGTTCCTGTATCTGAATGGGTCAACCTGTACAGGTACGGGTTCCCAGTATCATACGGGAGACCCGTATCCCATAACACCGTATGAGATATACGGGTCAACCAGTATGAATTTTTATACGGGTTTTTTCAGTAGGGTAGTTAGTTGAGGCAGCTAAAAAAATCGCCAGAGTACCCCTTTAACAACCAGGAGAATTCTTTAGATTCATGTTTCTCTAGTATGGAACGCGTTTCCATCGTTCGGAGTCAATCCCCATTGGTCCCTGAAGATATATATCACCCTGCACTTGATGTAGTGTTCTCCCGTATTTCACCAGTTTGCACTCCTCCTTCCTAAAGATGCCTTCCTCACACCTCGTATAGTAATTTCTCGGCAGGCGACTACATTTAAATGCACTATTATTTTACGGATGTCAACTGGGCATCTGTTCTTAAGCCTATCAATGTGAATGAGCAAGTCACTTGCCCCACGAAGAATTGTTCTGGGGGCTATAGAGATATTGTCACGGGTGGTGACCAGAATGACAATAAATAAACAGGAAGAAATAAACGTTTAATGTGGCGAACTTGTGCCGAAAACAAAAAGGAGAATAGAAAATAATAACAAAGCGTCGCGAGCGTCGAGGTCGGCGAGACAGCGGAGTCGAGCGCTGGGGCGAAACTGACTCGACAAGGTCGCGGGCGGCCTCTTATCTAGAGTGAGTCACTATCTCGAAGATTCGGCGGAGAAGGTTCGAGCGTAGCGCGCTCGGGGCGAGAATGAACAAGCACTTTCTAGAACAACAAAAACAAGGATGAACGATAGTTATGTCCAAAGCAAGAATGAACGAGAACTTTCTACAAGTCCGTGACCCTGCGCGCGGCATTATCCCCCCCCTTTAAAAAGTGCATCGTCCCGATGCAGCACAAAACGAAGAACAACAAACAAAAACAAATCCAAAACAAAGAGGCAGCAGAATCGCGAGTCGCAGTTCACAGTTCACAGTTCACCCGTCGACGAGAGTGGAAAGTTCTATCGTTCGTAATACGGCTTCAGCCTAACGACGTGCACCACCTCGGGTCGCGGCTGACGTCTTGCAGATGGGCGCGTTCCGTCGGGTAGAACTTCGTAGTTCAGATCGCCGAGGCGTCGGATGATCTTGTAGGGTCCGAAATAGCGTTTCAGAAGTTTTTCGCTGAGACCGCGACGACGTATTGGTGTCCAAAC